GTCGTGCCATGTGGCCCAACCGTAGCCCTGTTTCATATGAATACCATCGCCGAAAGGGGACCACCTAAAACCGACACCCGACTTATTCCCTGCACAACAGGACAGTTGAGACGTCGCATCGCAACACGTGAGATACCTTGCAGTCCCCAGGGAGGGATTCGAATGGTCATGTGATGTTAAGACCCTAGAGTCCACTTGCCACGTTTTAAATGTCCTGCGGTTGTGAAGGGAATGCAGTGTGTGGGGGGGGTGTCAAAGCATGTGAACATCGAAAAGGAGTGGTTGCCCTTTGGCTTCTGTCCGACACCTCCAAAAATGCAGTAGTTGCCCTCAAAATGAACACCTATGTCAGGGAAGCTGAGTCACAAGCTCATTCGCTTAGCACATACCCTTGGGCGAAACACCATGATACATGCACACATCGCATGTATGGCTGCGCGTCCCCTTTAACTCAGTGACCGTAGAGATTGCCATCTGGTGTGTTTTTTTCTCGAGGGAGCGCCCAACATGGTGGCTGTCCTTTCGGTTTCCCTTTGAAACCAACCAAAAAGGGTACCCTTAGAAACACACACACACACATCCAGGTTCACGCATGTGGTAACCCAAATCTGCTTCCTTGGAGGAGGAAGCGTACCTCCGACTCACAAAGAAGCTGGGACGCCTGCCCGGAGCACAGCAAAGGGGCTGTGGGCGTGCGCAGAACATCCTGGCGGATGTGGCACTTGGCAGTTGGCAGCACTATTTCTAGGTCCTCCAGTAGAGAGGTTAGACTAAGGGTGCCCGAATTTTCTGTAGTTTATGTTAGAAGGGGAACCCGCCCCCCCCCAAAAAAAAAAAGGGTAAATAAAAGGGCATTACTGGGGGACCTGGATCTGTATCACAATCAAAACCCGGTATTACAACGGTCCGCCTGCGATTATCCCTTACTACCCTCCAATTGCCCGGGTTTTGATTGTGACTCATTTAAGGGCCCTGTAGCCCGTGAAGGTTGGAAGGTGGGACCATCCCATGTGCAGGGTCTGGCTGAGTGTCTGGGCAGCAGAGTCAAATGTGGCGGTGTGTTTCTTCGAGGGTACCCTGTTTCAGGGATCCTTACATTATACACCTGAACATTGCCTTGTAAATGGTGGTTTCCCTTTATTTTGGTGGAAAATGCCATGTTTCAAATGGGCAAAATGTATCTTTTAAGGAGCCCTGTGTTTGTGGTTGGTTAAATTAAGGAGTAAATCGAAAGGAAACAGCCCCTTCAAGGGTTCCACTGTTTTAAGACACATAAGCCAAGCTTGGTTGCCTGGGTAGCTGGAAGCGAGATCTGTGCCGGCGTAGCCATGCTCAAACTCATTCAACAGGTTGTGCGTGGACGGGACTCCCAGTAGGCTCCCTCGTGTTTTTAGTCTAACTTGCCAAAATCATGGGCACCCCGGATCTAAGTGAACCCCTAGTTTCGTATTGGGCGTGTCCCCATTTTGGTGTGGGGATTCAGACCACTTTTGGAGGGGACAACCCCGCCATCCCAACATGGATAGCCGTGCAACTAAACTAGGCATCCGACATGGGAAACTGTCCCCAGATTTCCGCCATTGACCCAAGCCCGAAAAGGAGCATCCCACCAACTAACAAGGGGATGCTAAGACCCTCTGTCAGCTCCCATGGCAATTTGTAGGAGGGCATCCCTCGAAACAAGATACCCTCGGAACTCCCTCATGGTTCAGCGCTTTTTGGAAGTTCCCACGGCTCGAGAATCTTTCGAGGATTGACCAGCCGGCAAACGTCCAACGGCCGGGGTGGATTTCTGCGCCTCGGCCTGTGACAGGGACCCGGTCCCTTTAAAGGAAAATGGTCCAAACCAGGATCCCCCTGCCAGGTTCCATGTTAATTGGTGGGAGGGTACTTGCTTTATTTGCGGGCAGATGGTGAGAATAATTTAGACACTCTGACTTAAAATAGCTCGCGGTTGCTGGCACGGAGGATCGACGAGCCGAAGGCGTATCAGTTGCCACTCAACTGAAGGTGTTTACACGGGTCCTGGCGTTGTATGTCCTAAACATCAGCCACCAACATCATCATCATCAGCATCATCATCATCATCATCATCATCATCATCATCATCATCATCATCATCATCATCATCATCATCATCATCATCATCACCACCACCACCACCACCACCATCACCATCACCATCACCATCACCATCACCATCACCATCACCATCACCACCACCACCATCACCATCACCATCACAACATCTTTCCTGTAGAACAACAATGTCATGTTTGGGTCCACACAATCAGCCTTTGACACAACAACACAAGCGACGGCAAGGTTCAGCCCTTTTACACCAAAAGGCTTGTCTGCTTGCCTCCCAAGTTATGGTTGTGGACTACTTCACGCGGTGCTCCTTAGAATATCATGAAACCGGCCCTCCACTCCCACTTTGTTTACGGCCAAGTCCCCACGAGCGTAACGTGCCTGCGTAGGTTCTGCCGTAACGTGGCCTCGGAGCACGAGACCTGTTGCCATCTACCTGTTTTTGGGCACCTGTGGGAGGGTGGAAGATCGTGTTCCTCTTGTAGCCCCCTGTCAGGTGCCGTGTTAGGAGCAAGGGTAACTCTTGCCCTAAGCTTGGGGGCCCAAATGCTGTCCGAATTGGATCAGACCCGACATGTGAGCCCTCGCCTGCGCCCAAAGAGTGGCCAACTTGAGACAAGCAAAGGCCATACAACCAACGCGGGGAGAAAAGTGCAATCAGCAAGAAGCATCACCAGCAAGGTGCAAAAAACAAACAACTGTGCAAGGGTCAAAGAGTGCAAAGATCAAATGTAATTTCACCCAGCAAGAAATTTGCAAAAAGTTTGTCACTGCCACGAAAGGCAAAACAACAAGCTGAGAAGGGTCCTCACGTTGAGAGTTTGCTGCGCCAACATGAAACCAGGCTTGCAGCCCACAGTTCTGACACTCACACAAGAACGCCAGAAGCAGTTTGGGCGTACACATGTTTTCGTGAAGAAAACGTATGTGAGAAAGCCTTTTGGCGGACATGGATTACATGGGAACCCACAAGCCCACCAATCAGTTTGAGCCTTCCCTATCTATAAGCAGCTGCGGCCTCCGCAAATCAAGAGCCGAAGTTCTCAAAGACAAAGGCAGGGGTTGCACAAGATTGGTGTCACCAAAAACTTGCTGGTGCGATAGGCAGGGAATAAGAAATGGCATGACCCTCAGCAAAACCATCCAACTGGTGGTTTCCTTTAAGGGAATCCATGGGTTCATTGCATTTCTCATTCCCTACTGAGCGCCATCAAGAAAAGGCTGACCCCAAACTTTCGATTTGTCTTTAAAATTTCACTCTATACAAAAACGGCTTGAACAGGGAACCCTCAAACGCACACGATTAATATTTCATTTTTAGGGAACACTAGCAATGTACCTTCATCATGACTCGGTTTGCCCGATCGGTCGTGATCATTTAGATTTCATTCGGTCAAACAAACTCCTCGTGCCTCTCCAAGAGGGGGCTTTGAATTGATTCCAAAAGCCTGAAGCGGCATCCCCAAGTGGAGGACCTACATCCTGAGTTCATGTTGCCCTAGAAATCGCTTCTGGAAAGAAACCACAGTGTGCAGTTGTTCTGTTGGGTCATGATAGGATACCTCCACGCACGGTTGCTTTCTCTCACCCCGCCAGCAATTAATCCTGTGTGGTGCCAACAAGAAGCCTCCAATTTGCAAGAATGGATGCCTGATTTTGCCACAGTGACGATTTGCGAATCCCTGAAGCACGTGGTCCTTGGTGGGTCAACCAAGCATTCGCTTTGGCCAAAGGACCAGGAAAAGAAAAGGTTAACCTTTTGGGACTAAAATGGGCCAAACAGGAGAAGGGCTTTTGAGCAAGTAAGGCAAGGTGCGAGTACTGACAAACCCTACCAGCTCGTGGTTTGCTCACTGTGCGTCCAAGCCCTGAACTCCGTTCGCTGACCATTCCTGTCAATCCCTGGTGACTAACTCGATTGACTGAACACATATTTGGCCATGGGGCATAACCTATGGCTCCATTTTGGGGTGGATGAACATCCATTTGCCACCTATTTTGATGTTCACCAGGGGAACAGGGTTTTGACCCACAGCCATATGAGCAGGACTTTGAACCGGTACAGTAGTCCAGTCCAATGAGCCACTGGGCATGGTCCATTTAGTGAGTCCTCTTCTTGCCTCACTTCCGACGAGTTGATTGGCCAAAACCAGTCCCTAAACTTGTATTTACCGCCAAACTGGCAACCAAACAAAGCGCACCGGCTGTCGACGCAAGTGGCCAGGCGCCGTATATTCCCCTTAAAAATCACCCCAAAAAAAACCCTCAACTTAAATTGACCCAAAAGGTGTTAAGCTCAAACCCGAAGGGGAGGTCAATATGGGGTACTCTGTTCCAAAGCTGGCGCGGCATCAATATATCTTTTCTCATGGTGACAAACGCTGTGCGATGGTCATTGAGCTACTCTGGCCAGCCATGACATGGCTACCTTGGAAAACCCACTGCAAAAGGCTGAGATATACTAAAACGACTTAGCTGTCAAATGGCTTTTGATCTGTGCGGCCTTCCCAAGGCAAAGGTGACCCAATCGCGGCACTGGAGGTCACCCTGCACATTCCTTGGATTTCTTGGGCCCCAAACCCAAAAAGAGTCCACTGATCTGCCCAGCGATTTGTCGCTTTGGTGGGAAACCGCTCGCGGCAAAGCCTGAGTGGCGGCTCTTGCGCCTTCAAAGGCCGCAAACGGATGGGATCTATGGATCAAGTTGGACGTATCGCGCGGATTTGTGGCTCCGAGAATCTGATCAAAGCCCGTACACCATTGGCCAAGGATACATGCCTGTCTCCGCACGGACCTTCTGTCCGGTTCGACGGCAGGTAAAGCTTCTCAGCAATTCACTGTGTAGTATTGGTGGAAACTGATGCTTCTCCTGTCGACCCTCAATTTCCTTCATTAGACTCTATAGTAACAGTTTCGATGGTTTCGAGGGAGTCGGGCGCTCGGAAATGGCAAATGTTTTGTCCCTTCAAGGGAGCGAATGGAGACGTGAAACAGATCACTCGAAAGCACGAGTGTAGATGACGATAAACTCTGGATAAACCTGGGCGAGAGCGCGAGCCAGAAAATGCTATCGAGACATGGTTAGACCCATTGGAAAACATCATGTACGACAAAACCAGCACCGTTTGGGATGGATATTCTATGCATCCGAAGAGTTCTTGCCCCCAACCCAACAACTGACTTTTTGGTCCACCAGCTTCCCGAGGGCCTCCAATTTGTGGTTGGGTTGCTTGGTGGTTCAGGGTATTTTCCCATTCACCCTCTACAAGAGCCAGGGGGTCAAATTCCCAACCCACAAAATACGGAATTTGAACCAGCTCCTTTTGAAGCCAAATTTGGAAGGTGCCCCGAATGTCGAAACCGCCAAACCAAACCACCAATTGGGGCTAAGGCGACATCTTGGTCCACAGTGAATCTGACGCAAGAACCAACAAAGCAACAGAAAGTTCCGGACATCGGGGTTCAATTGGCTTCATGTCCAACTCTTCTTTTTGAGGGTACCTTCATCGAGTGGGCTTAAAGGGAACCCAACACGGAAAGCTGGCTTTTTGGGTCTCTCTGCTTTGACATGCTCATAGTTTGTGTTTTCAACGGAGGCTCCTCACTGGCATGCAAAACCCAGCAAAACGGCAGACACACCAATCCGCGGCAGGACCGTCAGCTTTGAAACAGGCCCGCGGCATGGAACGGGGTTACGGTTTGAGGGGACACTTCCCCATTCTTTCCAGGGATTTTTCTTTCTAGAAAACCTCCGGAAAGCCAGGGAAAACGGCCGGCTTTTGGAAAGAACGATGGTCGAAAAGAATGGGGAATCAACCCCTAGAAGTTTGGGTTGGCACTTGATCCTACAGGTGTGTCCCCCCCCCCAAAAACAAAAGGGGAAAACAAGCTGGAAACAGGAGAAGCCACCCACGTGCCGGCATTACCTGGCTATATGTTTTTTGGGAGTGGGTGCCCCAGTTTTGCGGCTTCAAAGCGAAACCAACAAGAAAACCGGTTGGACGTTCTGGGGGTTCAAAGCGCTAAGTCAGCAAGTGGTTAGCCTATGTTATACCCCACGTAGGATACCAACAATTTACACAGCGAAAACAGGTTGTGGCTAACAATTTGGGGGGTTCCTAACAAAACTTGCTGGTGCTCAGCAGTGAATAAGGGAATGACCCTTACAAACCGTCCAACTGCTTGTGTCCTTTATTCGGGGGACCAAAGCCTGGGTTCATTCCCACATTCCCTATCGCACCAGCAAGAAAAGCCACATCCACCGTCTAGCGAGAAGCGGTCTAGCCAGCGCCAAGGGTTCCAAACACCACCCACCAATAGCGGTCTAGGCCACAGGAAAATCGACCTTGTTGGCCATCGGGGACCCTGTTTCTCCAACCACATACCTGTTTTCTGACCTCCATTTTCCCTTTTGGCTTGTGGGTCCCAAAACACAGGTCGGGGGTCAACAAAAAGACCAGGGTCCCCTTGGCCATGTTGGGCTTCCCAGCCAAGAGCCAGGCTCTTAACGGCGCGCCGCCGCTCGACTTGGCCAGGGCGCGGCCTCTTCGTTGAAGAACACCATTTCGCGGAAGGTGCCCACGGCCGCCAAGCGATCGCCACACACGGAGTCGTAGCCTGCGCGAAGCGAGCGAGAAACGGCGACGGAGAGGCGGAGAGGCGCGACCGCTGAGCCTGAGTCCAGTGGTGACTCGAGGAGGACGGGCTTTTGGATGCCATGGGAAAAACAAAACTTGGCACCCCTTTTATGTTTTTGTTGGTCTCCTGTTGTCTCTTTTGAGGGACATCCCCCTCCCAGAGGGAAAAAGAGGAAACAACAGACCGGAGGTCTGGGTTGCATGGCTCAGGAGCCTTCAGCTGATAGCCGGTTTCTTACTCTCTGTCCAACAGAAGTGGACAATTGGAAGGTTTTGGAAGACTGTCGTGTTGAACAGGTCCCCTGTCCACTTCCATGATTGTTGGAAAGAAACAATATACCAAAGGGCACAACCTATTTGAAAGGGTTTTTGAAAAATGCGCTTCAACTCTCCTAAGCAACCGAATAACACACCGGCGGGAACTTCCAACCTCCGGCGTCTCTTGGATGCCCTTCCAACTTCGGACCACCATCACTGCAAGCGTTTGTTCCATCCCGTGCCCCCCCTGCCCCCCTCTGCGTTGTACATGACGCTTCTGTCACGCCATGCGAAAGCAAACACGCCCTGAGCATCCTCGGACCATTTCGGGCGTCCTTCCTTCCGGCCCAATGCGCCCCAAGGGATCGATCGAGCGCAACGGAACTTCTCAGGTGCCCCTTGACCCAGACAAAAAGCTGATCTCCCTTAGACTTTTGGGGCCATGACTTATGGACCAACCAAATGGACCCTTTGAAATTTGGGGCCGTGACTTATGGACCAAAGATCCGGTCGGCAAGTGAGTTCCAGGGCCTGAATCGGATGGAACAAACGAGCCGCCGGTCGACGGAATCTGCAGACTGGGGGCCCACAATTCCCCTTTCCGATCGCCGCCAAATCCCACGGAACCGACCCAGTGGATCCCAGTAAATGGTTTCCAACTTTATGTTGGTGTTGAAAAAGCCATGTTTCAAATGGTTGCAAAATGTATCTCTTAAGGAGCCCTGATATACTAGGTGACCAGCCATGTTCCTTTTGCTTACCCCTTAAAACTCCAAGCCCTGGGGAAGTTAACCTTTTATAGACATATAGCCCATGTTACCCAAAAAGTTGAAAAGTTGTGTTTTTAAGAGGTAAGTTTGTGTTTAAAGACTGGCAAGCCTTGGTTACCTGCAAAACCACTCAAAGTCCGGGGTCCGCAACGGAATAGAACTCTTGGGTTCCACATGCACATTTTGGTGTGTGTGTGTGTGTGCGTGTGAATGTGTGTGTGAATGTGTGTTTTTGTGAATGTGTGTTTGTGTGAATGAGTGTGTGTGTGTGTGTGAATGTGTGTGTGTGTGTGTGTGTGTGTCGTGTGTGCATGTGTTGCTACAGGTTACTCTTGGGTTGGGGAAAACAATGCAAAACCGAAGCCCATGTTGGGATTCCTCCAGTTTGAAACACACCATTGGAACATCGCCCCATACCGATTGATGTTTGGAACCAAGATAGCTGCCAAGGTTTATATAGGCCTTATTCTAACCCCCCCAAAGGAAAGCTAATAACCAAAAGTAATCCCATGGACAGGGCTGACAATACAATCCGTTTTAGACCAGCTCATAAAGTGGCCACTATCATCTGCGGCCCTTTTGGGCCATTCTTTCAGACCCCACAAGTGAACCACCCACCAAAAAGGCCCTTTTGGCGGGGGTTGGGTTGGGGGTGTTGGGCCTTTCTGGCTGCCTGTCCGAGTACCCGGGCGGATGGATCCGATCCGATCTTCCGCGCCTTTGGCCTTCGCCGGCTCCTCCATATCCGCGGCCTCAGGGACGGTAAGGACCTCCCCCATGACGCAGCGGCAAAGGAGCATGGCGCAGAGGCCCAGGTAGACCTCAGCTCGGCTTTCTGCTCCCCTAAGAGTCTTAAACTCTGAGTGGTTTAATGGAAAACATCCAACCAACAAAACAAGTGGGCAATTACTGTAATGGAAAACCCATTAGTTGGCAAACAGTGAAAGTCCTAACATCCCTTGGCAAAATGCACCACTGTCAGAACTCGCGACTCACTCTTCTCTCAGTCACTCGGCGCTTGAGGCTTCGCACGCGGCGAGCGAGTCGATTTTCGGGGGGACTTGGGACTCGGCGCGGGGAAGTGCGCCCAGCTTGGGCCAACGACAAGGTTCCAATTTAAGACCCCCCCCAAAAAAATAATAATATATATATATATACATATGCCGTCCCGGAACAACGAAAGCGATGAGTTGACATAGGATTGAGTATATGTGTAACTGTTAAAGCCTTCCAACTTGGAAGGCCCCTCCGAAAACCAGACAAATCCAACAAACAGCGGACTTGATGGCCCAATTTGCGCTCTCTGGCCGCCTTTGGCTCATGTCCTGGTGCAATAGCCAGGGAATGAGAAACAACCCGGAGAAACAAAGCATCCAACTGGTGGTTCCTAGGAAATCCCCTGGCTGATTCCTGCCACCCACTGGTCTTGCCAAAAATGGTCAAGTTTGAAGTCGAGGTGAGCCTGGATGCTGCATGCTTGATTCACGGCACCTGACAGACTGGAGGCATGTTGAACAAGGATAACTTTAAACATGTCTCGCCCCTCAATATGGGTGGTGTGTCTATTGTTTCTGGTTCTCAGCATGGAATGCATGACCCCTATAAACCATCCCTTATGGTTTCTTTTTAGGGAATTTCCAAACCGTTCATTCGCAACAACCGGACTCGGTCATTCCCTACCTATCGCACCACAAAACCCACTTACTCGGCGATGCCGCCGCAAAAGACAAAAAAACAGGACCGCGGAAAAAAAAAGTCACCTCCGAAATCCAACATCGTTTTCCAAAACGAAGCCACCCCTGCCAACGATTTGGGAAACACAAAAGACCGCCAAACAAACAAAACCAGCAAAAAAAAGAAACAAAAAACAAAAAAAACCTTCGAAACCGGGGAATATGTATCTGTATATATATATATATATATGTAAAAAAAAGCGACAAGTCTCCGAAAAACACCCAAAGCTGAGGCGCTCCGGAGCCCTCCTTGGCGTACTCGTCGCTCTTGCTGGCGTTCTCCGCCAGGTAGATGCCACGCCCAAACCTCCCCCGACTCCGCGGCTCGACTCCGCTCGGGACGAGCGGAGCCGCTGGAGTCGTCCCAGATCCCAAGATCCGACATGTCATTCCCAAAGACCTCGAAAATAAGAAAGGGTCTTGGGACAGGGCATGGAAAAGAAGAAGAACACGAAAAGAGTAGGATAGATTCCCCATTAAAACCAACCAGGGCAACATAAAAGCAACGTATTCGTAGGCAAATGGAAGCGATCGCAAGTCTTGCACCAGACATTTTCGGATGGGGCCTTGCAAAAAGCGACTGGCCTGCACGTCTCGTGCGGGTTTGCTGGAGAACCCTTCGAGTGTTTTGCTCGCTCAGCTTCATTGTTGGCATTGGGTATGTTGTAGGCAACTAGAACCAGCAAGCATTTCGGTCTCCTTTGCGGGTAGAGATACCATCCCACACAACAGCGCTGAGCAATGTCTTGGCAAGAAACAACTCCAAGAAGGGACCTGGACCCGCAAACTGCCGTATTGCCCCAGCTATGGGCTGGATTCCCTTTTTCAAACGGACTTTTCAGGGTCCAGGTACGGATTCCAGCATGTTTCCCGCGAACAGATTGCCACCCAAACAAGACAACACACCATGCGCCGGGCGGGCTTGCCTTTGCCCGAACGCCGGCGACATCCTCAACATCAAGCCCTCCAAATTGTTTACCAAAGTTCCCCCACCCCGAAATGAGATCCCTCGCCCTCAAGTTGAACCAGCGTCCATCCCTTCAATCAAGCGTCAAAAAATAGTCAAAGGCCACTAGCATGGTCTTTACGAACCAAACAGGGATCGTGACTCAACTTGCTGTTGCTCAGGGAATGAGAAATGGAATGACCCCTATAAACCATCCAACTGGTGCGTTTCCTTTCTTCGGGAATCCCCAAACCGTTCGTTCAACCACACTCCTATAGCAGCATCATGGCTTTCCTCTTGGTTTCCCTAAAAGAAACACTAGGGATGCCCTAGGAAACCACGGCGGAGCTACTGTGGATGGACGAAATCCGTTCGCACCACTTTGAAACCACGGGAAACCATTGTCTATTGGCATTTACAGGGGAAGCCATCATTCCAGGGTTTCTTAGGTGGTGCGAATCGGATTCCGTCCATCCACAGTTCTTCGTCAAGTCCGCGAGAGCTTCCCTGGCTTCGCCACGGCACATGGAGCCCGTAGAGCTTCCGGCGCGATCCACACGGAAGAAGTCCCGGGCAATGGACTGGGCGGATTCCTCGTCGGAACATCTGGTCGACAGGAAGACCCAAAGTCGGATGGCTTCATGTTGGTTTCCCTCCAGCCAGTCCATGGCTGACTTCCACTTCAACTCGCTTGAGCTAACCAAAAGTGGGTTCCCCACAAAAAAACAGTTGTGAATACAGAAGATCCGACTTCTAGGGAAGGCCCCTTTGGGCGTGGCGATGTTTTTGGCCAATTGGACCTTGGCGGTTTGGATTGGAGATTCTTGTTGGAACCTATATGAATGGGAAGGTGGCCCCTCACCGCACCAAGCCGAGTAAGGGAACACGGAACGGTGATATCTGGGGGCTTGCAAAAGGCAATGGTGTTTACACGGTGAAGCAGAATCCGGCGATCTGTCAACACCCAGCTATCGAACACCAAGACAAATGAAAGGAGTTGGATTGGACCGCATGCTTCTACCAGGTCCTTTTTCCTGCACATGAAATCAAGTTGCACTCCCTATAGCAAAGATCCCCTCAAATCCCAAGCCTCCCGGGGGGGTGTAAGAAGGGAACCCTCAGATTGGAGGTCTAGGAAATGCTGCGGAGCGCAGTAAAAGACAAACCCAGGTTTCAACACACTAGCGACAGTCAAGCATCAGGTGGGGCAATGGGGACTCGGGACTGGAGAAGCCTATGATATAAGCAAAAGGATAAGCCCCGAATAGAGACCTGAATAAGGACCCCTCTGCAACAAGTTGAACGTGTTGGTGGTTTGCGACAAATGTCCAAAAGAGTGTTTGTTTGCTTGTTTAAAGAAGCAAAACAACACGTTAAACAACTCACAGCAAAGGGTAAGCGAGAAGTTTTCTAAGTTATAGCCCCCTTGAACGCCTCTTGAAGTCGGCCGACAAAAAGCACCCTTGGCAAGTCAAGGCACTGGATTTGTGCCATGGAAGAGGTAGCTCTCGTTGATGTCGTCGTCCAGCAAGTTTATCTTGTTACCTTGGGGAAGTATGGAGGTGTTTCTTTGAGGGTGGTGGTTTTAAAGGGAAACCAAAAGACACACCACCATTTTGGGGGTCCAAATCACAAAGAAAAGGACAGACGCAAATAAGACGAGCTTACCCTATCACAACATGAAACTCAGGCCAACGGGGTTGCTCTGAGCCTCCAATCAATGATCAGCTTCCCTCTAATTGGTGGGTCGAGTCGGTAATTTGATGCCGTTCCTCATCTTTTGGTGGAGTTCCGAAAGAGTTTCCCATTTACCCTCTACAAGAACCAGGGGTTCAAATCCAAAGCCAAATAAATCCAAACCACCAACTAAGGGTTTCGTCCCATGATTAACACGAGGCTAGGAAAACACGCGGGAACTGGTCTGGGTTTCTCCATTCTTTTCAACGAACACCGTTTCACAACATCCGACGTTTCACTGTGTTTTTGTGGCTCTCCGGCAAGAACAATCCATGGAACGAATCAGGAAGTCACCCCCAGACTTGGATCCTTTTGCTTTCCCTTGAGAGCCGGAAAACTCAAAGCCGCCAGCTTGTCGTGTTTTCAGGGTGCACGAGCTTTGGTTGGACTGCGCTTTTCGGCGTATCTTCCGGTGGGTGAAAGGCCCATGCCCCGTTTGATGGTCGAAAACTACTGCTTTGACCCAAGAAAAAAGAAACAGCTTTGTTGATAGAGGGTAGTCACCTTCAGACCTGAATGCCCACTGCAAGTGTGCAAACTAGAAATCTGGGGAAAATTTGGACTCCCAAACGGGACCATGACCAAATCAATGTTTGACCGAACCTTCTGGCCCCCCAAAACCCATTGACGTTTGACTCTATCGATATGATCATAAAAGTTGTTTGGTCTCACTGTCCCCATTAAATCAGGCGGTAGAACATCAAACCTACAATATGGCTATCACTTCCGAACGAGTCAGGGCTGTGGTTGAAATGGAATCCACTTCCGTGATATAACAGAAAAGTCTTCCCAAAGACGAATCCCCCCATGCAAAGGGGATGTATCACAGAAGTGGTTGGATTTGCACCGAGAGTGTTCCCAATGGAACGAGCGGATTGTCCCAAGTCCAACTTTCGGTCCATGGACTTTATCAAGTTCATGAAGTCATTTGTTGGCACTGCTGACTTAGGCATCGGCATCGGCAGTCCATACATAGGACCCAAGAGTCCCCTGGCTTTTCCTGTGGTCCGAGAAAAACACACACACACACACACACACACACACACACACACACACACACACACACACACACACACACACACACACACACACACACACAACACAACACAACACAACACAACACAACACAACACAACACAACACAACACAACACAACACAACACAACACAACACAACACAACACAACACAACACAACACAACAACACAACACAACACAACACAACACAACACAACACAACACAACACAACACAACACAACACAACACAACACAACACAACACAACACAACACAACACATCACAACACAACACAACACAACACAACACAGCACAACACAACACACCAACACAACACAACACAACACAACACACACACCAACACAACACACACACACACACCAACACAACACACACACACACCAACACAACACAACACAACACAACACAGCACAGCACAGCACAACACAACACAACACATCACAGCACAACACAACACAACACAACACATCACAACACAACACACCACAACACACCACGCCACAACACAACACAACACACCACAACACACCACACCACAACACAACACAACACGGCACACACACACACAACACAACACACCACACACAACACAACACACACACACACAACACAACACAACACAACACACACACACAACACACACACACAACACACACGCGCACACAACACACACAACACACACACAGAGACACACACACACACACAACACACACACAACACACACACACAACACACACACACAACACACACACACAACACACACAACACACACACACACAACACACACACACAACACACACACACGTAACACACACACACAACACACACAACACACACACACAACACACACACACACACACAACACACACACACACAACACACACAACACACACACACACAACACACACACACACAACACACACACACACACGTAACACACACACACAACACACACAACACACACACACACAACACACACAACACACACACACACAACACACACAACACACACAACACACACACGCGCACACGCGCACACACACACACAAACACCTGATTTTCAGGCTACCAACTGGTAACATAAAGAGACCCCTTGGAGTCACGGTCAAAACCTGCAATTAGAGTGCTCTAATGTGACCGGAACCCAAAAGGAAAGCCAGCTCTTTGTAGGGCTCTCCACCGAAACACATCCGATTTCTCCGGCCCAGCGGCTGGTCTCAACCTTGAAGCGGGTACAGGGCCCTGGTCTCTTTATCTTCACCGCGTCCTTGTAGCTGTTGTAGCGCCTCGTCCAGCTACAGCCACCCCCTATTGGAAACTCAGGAAACAAAGAAGCTCACCGGCACAGTTCCCTGTCAAAGCCCTTCAAACTTGAAATGAACTGCCCAACTTATGCCTCCACAAAGACTTAGACATGTGTCTTCGGTGCCAACATCAAGTCACGCAAGTCAGCAAAAGATAGAGCATGTGTGTGCAGAGGGAACCTCTTAGCATCCCAATTTGGTTTCCTCTTGTTCTTTTAATGGAAATAACACAATAACGCTACAAAGTCCCTTAGACCAAAAAAGCAAACCTGTCATGTCCTGTTTTCGGTTAATAAAAAAAAACACACTTTCAAACTTTCAATGCCTATTATCTTTTTGGAAACAATAACAATAACGTTAACGTCCATGTATTCGCCTCTTTTTTTACAAACAATAACTAAACCCCTACAAGAAAAATGTCTTTCTGAGAATAACACAACGACAACAACTAAACCCCGCCTTTCTTAGAAGGAAACAACAACAAGAGCTTTCATGTCCCCGTGCTTTTGACAAACCAACCACCTTCAACATCAGTGTTTTCCTTGGAACAAAAACAACCACCACAAACATGTCCGCTTTCCTGGCAGCCAACAACTCAACCCCTACAATAAGTATAGGTCTTTCTTAGGGAAAACAAAACAACATCTAACCCCTAGAAAGAGCTGCCATAGGTCTTCGTTGGAAGGAACAACAACAACCAGAGCATACATTCCTCTTTTATTCGCCTCTTGCTTGTTTTCTTGTTTTAACAAATACACCTCCTTCTTCGGGGGGAAAAAACAGCAACCACAACAAATGAAACCCTACAACATAGGCCTCTTGTTTAGGATAGTTCGCCTCGTTTTTTCTTCTTCTTTTATTCTTAATAACAAACAAGCACTAAACCTCCTTCTTCTCAAAACAAATATGTATATATGTAAAAAAAAAAAAAAAGACGAGCAGAGGCGTCCGCTTTCCCTTCCGCTCGGGGCGCGCGTAGGCGCGGTGGTTCTCCACCCGCAGCACGTTGGCCACGCGGCAGCTGGTGGGCACCTTGTCGGAGCCTCCCACCAAGCGCCGGTCGCGGCTGTAGCGCTGCACCCAGGTCTCATTCATGAGGTGCTGCACCTGACAGCTCCATACTTTCTCTTCCTATTTACTCTTAGTGCTTTAATTTTGTCTGGTGTGCTTTCTTTTCTTTTTGTTTTTCTTTTTTGAGGGGAGGGTAGGGCATGTTGGCTGGAGTTGCTTGTTTGAGGTGCTGCACCTGGGTTGGTTTTGGGGGGTCCATGTTGGCTGGGATTGGCAAAGGGGGGCCTTTGAGGTGCTGCACCTAGCAGAAGATCCATACTGTTTGCGTGTTCCCAGCGATGTTTGTATTTTTGGGGGTTGGTTGCATTTGAGGTGCTGCACCTGGAAGCAGAACCTCAAGTTGCTGGGCTGTTATATATGTATATATAGATTTCAACTTCTTTTTGGGGGAGATGGGGCATGTTGGCTGGGGTTGGCTTGGTGCATAGGTGCTGAAGGGCCGCTTTGGGGTTCCATGGGCCGGTGGGGTCATGTTGACTGACCAGTTGTGCCATCACATATGGGAAGAATGGTGCAATGCAGGTGCACCGGTGAACCTGGCTGCCCAAGCTGAAGCTGGTTAACCCGACGGCTAAATCTAGGGTATCTTCATTCAGGTGCTACAGCTTCCAGCTGACCAGTTGAGCCATGGCCTTTTTGCAGGGCGGAAAACGATAGAATGGGGTGGGGTACTCTGAAAGCACATTCAGGCATGATTATATGGTCATTTATGTGGTAAGTACCTGGACCCTCAAACTATTCGTAGAGATGGAGTATTGGCCCGCAAATATGGGGGTAAATTCCCTTTTTAAGGAAATTGCGACGTCCCTTTTTTTCCCCCCAAGAACAAGAAAAGACGCCTCATTAAATTCGGCTGTTGAAAATGGAGTGCTGGCCAATCCGATTATCTCCAGGAACATGACTGGATTCCTGAGACTAAACACACACACCAAGCTTATCCACAGGAGAAATCTAGGGGTAGGATCCATTTCTTTCTGGAAACCACCACATACCAGGGTAGCGCCTAGTTTCTGAAAATAATGGATAAGAATGATAGTCAATGTCTATGCTCACAAACAATGTGAAATGGATGTGTGAATGACACACATCTTCAATCAACGCATGCCCAATTTCATCGCTGGAAGTTGTTTGACCAAACTTGGGCAGCCCACCAAAACTGGGCTGTCCTCAAATCCCCTCTTAAAAGTTTTACTTGTGGGTTAAGTGCAGAAACCAACCAACCAAACCACCTGAAAAGATCCGCAAAGCCAAGGAACCGGATGGCCTTCGGGAGCCAAACCATTTTGGTTCGACGGGCTTCAATTGAGCCACCATCAAAACCCGGTATTGAAATGGTCGAGAACCATGTTTCAAGAATTAAGAAGGCGGCCGAAGCTATTGATGGTGATTGTCCCTTACTAACCTGCATCTACCCAGGTTTTGATTGTGGCTCAATTGGAGGTGACCATGTGGCCCTTTCGCCCAAAGTGGCTCCCTCCGAAGCGCAGCTCGCGCACCAAGCTTCGGCGGTTTTGGGGGCCATGACTCAGATCCGGTCGATTCGCTTGTGCAAGTGAGATTTTGTTTAATTATATATTTATTTATTTTTTTTCGGGGGGTGTATCCGTAAAGTATTCCCTAGATCGGGGGTACCAACCGATGGGCTCCACCGCTTTGAATGTGGTACCGCCTTTGGGCTTCCAGGGTTTAGGCGTGCGCTTCGCCATCCAATGCCTACAAAGCAGGCCCCTCATCTTAGGTAACACCCCGTTTCATTCTGAGCGGGCCAACATCAGGGCAAAAGGCCGCACAAGGCAACTCATGAAGCATGATCTCACAGAGGTCGCTCGATGCCTCTTGTTGCATTTCCTCTGGGAAATGGATCGCTCATGTTGCATCGCTCATGCTGCTCTTGAATTGCCAAAACGGAAAGCCAACGATGCGATGCAACATGTCCGATTTGTCCAACCACCCCAGGAAGAAGGGCAAGGGCCTGGACTTCCCCAGTTCTTTCCCATCCTTCAGCCTCCCTCATGGTTTGGTGGTGTGGGCCCGGTGGTTTGGTGAGGTTCCGGAGGGGTTTCCCATCAACCCCAACCAAGGGTACCTGAATCCTTGTGTTCCAACCCCCCTCCCTAAAAAAAAGAGAAGAAGACCAAACAACAAAAACCACCAAACACTTGTGTAGGAACTCCTACCTTCTGACCAGAATGCTTGGAATTCGGATACCCTTCTCCCCCGACTCCGGCGCCTCGGCGATGCGGTTCCTTGGATTTGGCCGTCCGAGGCACACTGAAAATAAGATCTGCAACTGAGGTTGTGCTGGTGTGTGTGTTTGTTCGTTCGTTTGTTCGCTCGCTCGTGTGTGCTTTTGCTTGTATTTCTGTTTCTGTTCGTGTGTGTAAGGGCAATAAACCTGGACGTGCACGTAAGTTGCTTGCTGCACGTTCTTACAGCTTGAATGATGCTGACAGTCAACCGACGCGAAATTCTCGGGGCTGCCCAATCAACGAGATCCCGTTCGTCAGGGAAGGGATCCAAAATCAGGCTGGGGCAAAAAAATGAGACGCTCTCTTTGTAAGTTGGGGTTCCCCCCCCAGCCGCGTGATGAACACTTCGTTGGCCCTATCAACTCTGGCCGCAGTTGGAAAAAAAAGGATGCCATGGAAGCAGGCCACGTGCTGCTTACTGGTTGCCCATGGTTCTTGCGACCCCTTTGAGCCTGGTAGAGATGGTCATCCCTGATTTTTTGGATTTCTGGGATCTGGCTTTGCCTTCTTTTGCGAACCAGGATATGGCAGTGTAAACAAATGTTGCCCCGGTGTTTTGATTGTTTTCGGTTGGGCTCTATGCTTAATCCGAGAGACACTCCTACAACATCTGGCGGGAGGATCTTGCGGATTGACTTATGCCGGAAATGAACTGAAGGAACCCCCTTTGGGTAGTGTGATAGGAGCTTGTTTGCAGATCATGGTCTGTTCGGTTCCAGGTTGATCTGCAGGAGAGTAGCCCAGGTTTCTTGCACATGGGCCCCAAACGACCATGGGTAACTTTTCCCTTTTCATGGTGAAAGTCCTCTTTTTGGGTGGTTTTTCCTGTATGGTCCTGTTTTTGGCCGGGTTTTTCAATAGTCACCCCATAGCAAGGACCTTTTGATCAACCCCCACACGTCCCCTGATCTCGTCTACTCACCCAACCTTTCGCTCGCGCGAAGGCCAGCGGCGGATCAGGAAAAATGTGGATCCCATCCCGCGTCGCCCAGTACAGCGGAACCGTCATGGGCAAGTCGACCACGATCTCAAACCTGGGCTCTTCGATTGCAGAGGTGTCCTTTTACCGGGAAATAGATGGATTTCCCCAGTAGATGATTGAACCACCAGGTAAACCAGGGGAACCCAGCTATCGATCAACACAACCAATGGGCTGATCAAAACAACCAATGGGCTGATCAAAACAACCAATGGGCTCTTCCATTCCAGATCCCCGGCCGGTCGAGCTGTCTTCGCTAAAGAAAGGGGTGTTTACCTTGTGATGTTGGGGAAATATCCCATGTTTATGGGTGGCCCCCGTATGAATCAACCCCAGTTCAGAAGTAGGGGGGGGTGCAAAGCACACTGGCGAGAGGAACTCAAAAAGGGGACGCCTAGAAGTCATAGTCCAGCTCAAGGTGGAATGCATTCACAGCTGAGAAGGCAGGCGTCCCAGCATCATGTTCTCTGGACAAAAAGGTTCTTATTCCACAAAACAGCCCTCCTACCATATCCTTCCAGAACTCCTGGTAGCCAGAACTGAGTCCGGCCCCCTGCCAGCCTCTACCTGGCGAACTTGTCCCGAAACAATGGAGCTGAACATGGCGTCCAAGCGACGGGTGGGACACCCAGCATGGAAAACTTGAGGGAAACCAAGCCGAGAAACCCTAAAAAACAGGAGCGGAAATTCCAATGAACCAACCCCCGAACCCAAACCCAACGATATATCACGTCGTCCTTTTTTGACGAACACTTGCAATATGTATTGTTCAGCATTAGACTAGTTGACTACCGATTGATTGAAATCTGGACCACCGAGAATTTAACGGGGAACTGCTGGTTTTTCATAGTCTGGTGCTGGCCCCATTTAGACAAACCCAAAAAAAAAGAAGATCTACGGCCCTTCCGTAGACCACACAAAGTGTTTACCCAAACACTCAAACAACAACTACTAGTAAACAGTTGGCGAAGCCTCTACAAAACTGGTGAACACGCCCCTCCCCTAAAAAACAACCAAAAGCACATCTCATTTCACTTCAACAACTCAAACACCTTGGAACAACTAGCCAAAACTGTATTCAACAACATGTCCCGAACATCCCAGGCCAAACCACCCCACACCATCCCCCACCCCCTTTCCCCCCACCCCTCCCCTTCCTCCTCCTCCTCCTCCTCCTCCTCCTCCATCTCCACACTTCCCTCCTTGCCCCCCCCCCTCCTCCCCCCCCTTCGACCGCGGCGCATGTCCGTCTCGATGCGCCGCGAGCTGCGGCCGCTGGACCCGGCCGCCGTGGGCGCGGAGGTGCTCGAGCGCCCGCTGCCGCTGCCCGCCTGCCGTCCGCCCGTCCCGTCCCGTCCGTGGTGGGTCCCCCTGGCCCCTCCTCCGCCCACCTTACGGGAAGGGAGGGGGGTTGGGGGCGTGACAAGACGAACCAGAAGAACAGGAAAAAGAGGAAGAAGAGAAAGGACAGGAAGGATGATAGCAGTTTGTTCCATGGTAACTGGGACAGGCAGGACTTGGTGCCTACTTTGATCTGCTGTGGGGTAGTGGCCCTTCCGCCGTCCCCCTGGCGTGACCGCGTCTGTTTTCTGTGGGATTCTCCACAAATTATTGCTTTTCCTGAACCCTAAAAAATCGACAGACCCATCTGGACGTGACGATTTTTTTTCAGAGTCATCTGCCAGGGGGGGGGACCCCACCAAAAAAAAAGATGGTTGGCAGTGTTTCTGTTCTCAAAAAGACAGACTCATATGGACGTCGCGGTCCTTTTTTCCGGAGCTGGTTCCCCTTTTGGGGTTGCTTTGACATACGACTGCCAAAACTGGAAAACCAGCAGGTCCCCACGAACAACAACTAAAACCCTGAGGAACGGACGGCTAGGAACCGGTGTCCATTTGGCTTCTCCTTCAAAGAGCAAACCCGACAAGAGAAGTCCAAGGAACCACACCCCTATCCCCAAAGAGTCCCTTGACTGCAGTTTGAGGATAACGAAAGGGATCAAGGGCGGAAACTGGTGCTTCAAAGGTGAGAGACCTGTAGCTGGCTGTCAACTGGACACCTGAAGACCCGCTCCATTTGCTGATCACCCCAGTAGACTCGCTCAAGGGTGTTCCATTTTGGGGAAAACCACCAATGGCAAATGGAACGCTGTACAGACCAAGCCCTTTCCTCCAAACAGACAACTGCAGAGGGCGGAACTTAGGTCTGCGAAGGATCTCTTGTCCAAATATATAATGACCACTTAGAAACCACTCAACGGTTGGAATTGGCTCAGCAAAGTGGCTGGTACCCTGTCAGGTTTTTCATCATCATGTGGTCCTCTGGGGATTAAACTGTGGTTTGACTGGTGGACGAGTGTCGCTAAAAGTCCTTATCTTGCTGGCTCTCAGTCGTGAATCCTTTGAGAAGTCTTGGGAATAACTGTTTGGCTGGTTCCTTCGTTCTTGTTTGCCCAGTACATCCTATAAAACACCCAGCTCTCTGGACGCTACCATTCGATGGTCAAGCCACACAGAAAGCCACCATGTTCAGGGGGCCCCGATTTACGGTTACACCCCTGCGAACATCCCGCAGTCATAGATGGCATAGGTGCCCTTTTTGGCCCAACAAGATGGCCCTGGCAAACGGAGTCAAACCAATCTAAACCATTGCAACCCATCGATTTCTAACCAAACTAACCAATCAAAAGGAGATCTATAGGAGATCTATGGTTGTATTCAGTTCGACCCCAGAGCTGTTGTATTCACTCCTAACCAAACTAACCAATCAAAAGGAGATCTACGGTAGCTATATTCAGTCTACCGAATAAATCTCAGGATCCAACCAAAAAGGAGATCTATGGTTGTATTTAGTCCGAGCCCAGCTTAGGATCCGGTAGCTACCGGATAACCCAACCGCTCGACGAATCGAACGCGTGGAACGCGTGGAGCCTTCGGCAGCCCGGTGGAGGCCACAGGAAGGATGTCCCCCACCGCCGCCGCCACCGCCGCAGCCATCCTGAAGCCCAGCCCGGCTTGATCGCTTCACCCGGGATGGATACACCTTCTACATGACAATCCATTTGTTTTTTCGGCCCCTGTATATAATACTTCCAGTAGTGATATACATTTCCTCTGACACCAACAGGGGGAAATATAAATAACATGTTCTTAAGCAAATGGGAGACACCTTTTTAGTCAGGAGGGGCTCCTGGTCTTTGTGGGGGTTCGCCACTTTTGGAGAAGCCCCCTCCCCATATAAATAAATGTCCATTTGCTTTTCCGCTCCCTAGGACAAAATCAACATATCTCCAGTAGTGATAGATTCCCTTTAACACCAACAGGGGAAATAAAACAATACTTTTAAGCAAATGGAAGATAAACAAGCAGCACAAGAAATACCAGGTGTTGCGTTGTGACTCAAATGGGTCTGCGATTATTTGTTGTGAGTTGTCCCCTTTTTCAGGGTTGGCTTGAAGGGAAACCAGCAAAAACTTGCATGTTTTATTTTATTTTATTTTTTTGGGGGGGGCAAAGCGTATTGTGAAGTACCCAATGTGTGGTTTGCGAATGAGCAACCCCAGAAAAGCCACGAGAGCGGGTTCAAGGGTTCAAGGTTCTACCCCCCCAGTTCCCACCAATCCAAACCAACATGACAAACCGAGTCGCGGGACAAACATCGAGCTGACAGCTGGGGGGAACATCTACTTGCGCCAAAAAAGTCATTGGGCTATTTGGACCGACATCCCCCAGTTGCTTGTTGGGTTGGGTGTCAAACGACCTAGACATGGGGGCCTCAACAGTCATGCAATGAGAAAACCAACATTCGGTTGTTGGTGATTCACCTCCCGGGTTACAATCGCTTGTCATTGGTGGAAGGGCCACACGCCTCCGCCCAATTGACAAGGGGAGACAGGCGGAGGGCGGGGGGTCTGCACACCATGCAGGGGTCACTGCATTATCCCTCAAAAAAGTTGCAATTTCAGGGTGGTGTCCACTCAACTGCGGAAAAAATGAGGGATCCCTGCCATGCCCCAGCCAGTCAAAATTTACGCAAGTCCGCATTGATCAGCTTTGATGGTCGTAGAGTGCAGGCCTACTTGCAAACTGCTCCCCTATGAACGGAAGGAACCCCCAACAAGGGCTCCCCCGAAAAGGCTGGGCAGTCCCAAGCCAGATTGGTTTGCATGGAAAAGGAGCACTGGACACCCGTACAGTCTTGCAGTTGATTGAACAAAACAACCCAAGCTTAAGCAAGGGGGAAACGGTGCCATTGGACAATAGAAGGGGCCAGATCAGTATGTTCACATCATTCGCTCATGATCATGGTGGGAATTTGGTTTTCTAGTATCCCACAACTCCCATTCAACATATTCAGCCCACATCCTGGGTGCACAAAAAAAAAGTATACCCGAAACTAAAGTTTACCCTTCCTCCCACTAACATGGAACCTGACAGAAGGTCCTTTGAAGAGGAACATGATCTTCCAGCTGCCCCTGGATAAATGCTATATGTGTGTTGGAAGGGTACCCAAAAACAATCTTGCACTGTTGGTGTCTTATGAAGTCTACCCTACCAGGTATCCCTCCATACATGCTATGTTTGTTAGGGTACCCATTCCGCCTTAGGCTTCATCTGCAGTCTACCCCAAGCATTCTGGAGACGACCCCAGCTGCACCTGGCATCCGAGGGGCGCTCGGCGCTTCATCATGCGGTGCCGCAGCACGCCCATGGTGAAGACCATGAGCAGCACCAAGGCCGTGACCTCGGCTTGGCGGTTTGTGCCACAAAGAGGGGTAGTGGATGGCTCCTCTCTTCGGGGGGGGGGGGCGGGGGGACCCCATTTGGGCGATTTTGGTTGGGTTTAAAGGGGAGCCAAATCAGTTGTAAACGTTGTTCTTCTTGTGTGCCTTTCTTTGTTGGAGGAGGAGGGGGTGTTGATTGGTTTGAAAAGGAAGACCGACAAAGACACTCTCACGTCTAAGTGGCATCTCTAACACGTCCCAAAACGGTGACCTCAGTTTTCATAGGATTCGTTTTTGACTCGCCGAATGCAATTGTGGATTCCTCATCGGAACGTGCTAAAAGAGTGCAACAACTACCCTCTGTCCAATCAAGGTAGAAGGAGGGGCTTTGCATGTGGAGGGGAAGGTTTCCAAGAAAAGCACTCAAACAGGACTTGTCTTCTTTCTCTCTGCCACAACTGTCCCACTAGTGTGAGTTGCTCTAATCTGGGCATTCGAACCGATGGTTTCGGCAACTGCCAGAAGTGAAGAAATCCAAGGTGGCTCAAATTATCCTGTGCAAACTGTGTTTTTAGGGCTCCATGTTGATTTGTAGGAGTTGACCAAACAAGGTGATAAACGAGGTATAGGCTTGGCCGATGTTTTTTTTGGCCCAGTTGCCGTTCCACGTAACAAGTGGGATAACGAGGTCTCAAATCTGGCTTGGAGGAAACATGAGCGGAGTGATCTGCCCAAGTAATAATGGGCTGTGTGTGTGTTGAACCTTTAAGAGGCAGTTAGCACCAGTGTTGGTTTCCAATGCCGGCGGAACCACTTCAGGTAAACTGCAAGCAGTGTCAAGTGTTCTGAGAATGCGCTGTATCCTTGTGAAAACAGCAAAGCTGAAGTTGAACTCACGACTGGGACGTTTCCCCTGTGCAGGCAGAGCTTGCGTGGGACAATATCGACAAGGAAGGGGATGATGAAGGCATTGTGCCAAATTCGCCATCTAGGTTCATCCAACTGTGCTTCAAAGTGGGGCTAGCTACATGACTCAACAGCGCCGCAAACGCCTGAACCTGCTGTTGGAGTACATGTTTATCAGGGTCGTTTCAACAATACAAATACAACATACCGAATCGTATCGTTGCGTATTGCGAGCTATCGGTATCGAAAAGCAAGTATCGCAACCTCACATCGTATCGAAGACTATCGCTGCAAATCGTTTTGAATCATACCGATTTGTATCGGTATCGGTTGGGGTTTGCTTTGAGGGGCCCTTTGGGGCCAGAAGGGCGGCAGCCAGCTGCTGCTGTGCTGGTGGCTGCCTGGCACGGGAGGCGCTGGCAAAGTCTTTGAGAGGCTGCTTAGAAGAGACCCTCTTTGGAGAAATGGAAAGCCAAGAAAACAGACTGAGACTGCTTCAAGCCGATTCCATGTTGAACACTTCCCAGGGCTCATCCGGACAGCTGCAACCAGCCGAGGCCAGAAATCAACCTAACTCGGCGAGTTAGATCGTTTTTGAGGGTTCCCACTTCTCAGGGCTCATCCGGGACAGCTGCAACCAGCCAAGGCCAGAAATCAACCTAACTCGGCGAGTTAGATCGTTTTTGAGGGTTCCCACTTCCCAGGGCTCATCCGGGACAGCTGCAACCAGCCAAGGCCAGAAATCAACCTAACTCGGCGAGTTAGATCGTTTTTGAGGGTTCCCACTTCCCAGGGCTCATCCGGGACAGCTGCAACCAGCCGAGGCCAGAAATCAACCTAACTCGGCGAGTTAGATCGTTTTTGAGGGTTCCCACTTCCCAGGGCTCATCCGGGACAGCTGCAACCAGCCAAGGCCAGAAATCAACCTAACTCGGCGAGTTAGATCGTTTTTGAGGGTTCCCACTTCTCAGGGCTCATCCGGGACAGCTGCAACCAGCCGAGGCCAGAAATCAACCTAACTCGGCGAGTTAGATCGTTTTTGAGGGTTCCCACTTCTCAGGGCTCATCCGGGACAGCTGCAACCAGCCAAGGCCAGAAATCAACCTAACTCGGCGAGTTAGATCGTTTTTGAGGGTTCCCACTTCCCAGGGCTCATCCGGGACAGCTGCAACCAGCCAAGGCCAGAAATCAACCTAACTCGGCGAGTTAGATCGTTTTTGAGGGTTCCCACTTCCCAGGGCTCATCCGGGACAGCTGCAACCAGCCAAGGCCAGAAATCAACCTAACTCGGCGAGTTAGATCGTTTTTGAGGGTTGCCACTTCTCAGGGCTCATCTGGGACAGCTGCAACCAGCCAAGGCCAGAAATCAACCTAACTCGGCGAGTTAGATCGTTTTTGAGGGTTCGGCTCCAACCAAACCAAAATCAATGTCGATTTCAGACCTTTTTTTTGTGGAGGCTTGTAAGAGTACTTTGGTGTAATGGATTTTCTCTGGCTCTGGAACCTGCAGATGTGCAGGCTCGATTCTTGCTTCTTTCGGGCTTTTGGCGACACAACACGCCGAATTCGAGGTTCCCGGCCTGTTGGCAGCACAGCTTGCACACCAGCGCGCAGCCGCAGCGGGTGAGTATATTCCTTTATCAAGATATTGTTCAATACTCCCCTGCTGTATCGCAAGTTTATCGGATATTCAAAGCAATACATATCAATAAAATCGAGTGATATCGCGGAGCTTGCGGTACCGAACCGTATCGTCATTGAAACAGCCCTGTTTATTCATGTTTGTTTGGAGGGGGTACCACATACACAGGGAATATTGTGTATATAATACGAGGTAGGCTTTACAACGACCCTTCAGTTGGGACCCTGCAGAACCCCACTGGGAGCTACCCTCTTTGCTGACAGCTTGCCCCGGCTGCCAGCGCCGCCACAGGTAGTTCTGACGGAGGCACGTCCTGATTGGAACGAAGGAACGGTTCAACCGATAGAATCCATAGGACCCGTGGGCTGATCCCAAGTGGATCTGAGACTGAGACTGAGAAGAAAGTTAGCTTTGCTGCATTACAGCTTCTTGCCAGTAGAACTTGAGCAATTCGCCAAACCAACTACCTGGACCCTCAAGCTGCCCATACAAAAGGGAATTCATCGCAACATTTTGGGGTAATCACCCAGTTGGAAGGTAATTGGGAGGGTCCAGCTAGCCGTAAGGTAATTGGAGGGTTTGGGTGTGTCCTTCTCAGGGTGGGATGCCCTGGCAGATTGTGCTTTTTGCAAGCATGTTGTGTGATGAAACAGGTGTTCTGCGATTCAAGCGCACCTTGCTGTGTTTAAAGGCTACCATGTTTGTAGCTGTTCAAGGGTAACCAAAAGGAAGCCGGCCATGTTGGGCGTGCCTCATTTCTTCGACACCCCATATTAATGCGTCTTTTTTGAAGGGTCCCCACACAAATATCCCACGGTTTATTCTCATCCCCATGCGTTTAGGGACGTGCGCCCGGTATTCGCGCCTCTTCCACCATAACGCAGGCGCAGGTGGGACAGCAGTCGGCGCACACCGTCACGTTGCCATCGTTGCAACGGAAGGCCATGCGTCCATTGTAGCCTCCAGGGCATCTGAGCTTCACCTGAGATACGATCTAGGTCCTCCAGTAGAGAGGTTGGAATATGGGTACCCGATTTTTTTTCGGTAGTCTATTTTAGTAGGGGAAACCTCCCAAAAAAAAAGAAACGGTAAAAGGGCACTACTGGGGGACCTAGCGAGTCGAGGCTCTTTGAAACTTTGACGCTTGATGCTTCGGTCTTGGCGTGTTGATTGAGTGGATTGTTGCGTTGATGGCTTGTTGCGTGGACAGCTTGTTGTGCTGCTGCTGCAAATGGGTGTCTTTCTTAGGGGAAGGCCCCCAAAATGGGGGTTGTCCTTTTCGTTCCCTTTTTAGAGCAATCAACAAAAAAGGTACATACTGTCAAAAAGACACACCCAAAATTAGAATGACTCCAACCTGAAAATAAGGACATCGCAGCAATGGACCTGCATGGGTGGAAACACGCGTTTCAGCCCTCAATCGAATCGGTGAGCTGGTTCTAACTTGGCGGCTTGCTGAAGGATGGAGGGCTCGACATGACTGGGCTGCCCTCAGATCCTTCGCTAAAAGTTTAACTTTTAGTGGGCTAAATGGAAACTACCACTAAGCACTAAAAGGCTAAAAAGCTAGGGGGATGGCTGGGAGCCACCAAGATGAAAGAGGCCTAAGCCTTCTGGTAGAGTCCTGCTTGTCTTGAGGGTACCTGTTCAGATTGGTTTGGTGGGACAATACCCATACCTCTTCCCTGGTGGAGTCTGTCTTGAGGGCCACCTGTTCATGGCTTAGTGGGACAATACCCATCCTCCCAGCTAAGCCTTCTGGTAGAGTCTGTCTTGAGGGTACCCATTCAGGTTGGTTTAGAGAGACAATACCCATACCTCCTCCCAGCTTGACCTTACTTATCTCAGACTTCCAGTCAAGCAGTAAGCAGGTGGTCCGCTCAGGTTTGTCCTGACGGGGGGGTCACATATCCAAATCTAGAGTCATGATGCCTATGTGTTAAGGGTCACGGAGACTCCGAGTATTATCTGAGTTTTGGGCAACTAGGCCACCCCACCTGGATACACACCTCCCTCCAGCACGAACTTTGAAGTGCGTTCCAACCGCTAAATGTCATGGCTTACTTCCTGAGTGGACTAGCGAAAAATGTAAAAAGTATAAAGTCCAGAGCTCGGAAAGTGAGTAGTTACAAGTTGTTTGTGCTTTTGTTCATGGTGTTTTTCATGTTGTCATTTTGCTTTGTTTATCCGGGGATTCTCCAGCGCGTCACGGGGGGATATTAACCAGTTAGCTAACTTCTGGAGAAACTCATGTTCACATGCCCCGCGGGTGCCAGGAACAAAGAGCCACCCTTGCGTGGTTGGTTGAACTTAAAGAGGAACTCTTCCCAACAAATCAACTTGACATATCGCCAAACAAACAACTTGACCAGACTTAGACCCCTGCTAGAGGAAAGCTTGTTGTGGCAAGCTGAAAAGAAGGAACACCCGAAGGGTGACAAGTTAGACAGGAGGTAGGCCACGCCCGGCAATGAAACAACTGTTGGACAAGAAAGAAAGAAAGAAAGAAAGAAAGAAAGAAAGAAAGAAAGAAAGAAAGAAAGAAAGAAGTAGCGAAAGAACAAACAAGTTCAAAGGATTCCCCTACAATTGCTGGTCTCCGAAAGCCGACTTGTCCTTCGAAACTCGACTTCGTTTCGGGGCGCCATCTGTCCGTTCGGAATGTCGTCGTGCTCGAAGCTGAGGCCCTGGATCTGAGCCAGGCCCTGGCCATCGAGAGACATCAGTCGCGAGTGAATCAAAGCCCAGTCCGCAAGTTTGGTCTTGCTGCTCCGAATATGACCTGCCATTTTGGCTCATAGTGATTTAAGTAAGCTTCTTTTGTAGTCAAGCTTCATACCCTTTTTAGTGGGTCGGTTCGTTTGCTCTTCTCTCTCTCTCTCTCTCTCTCCTTTGGCCTCACTTGTTCATTCGGACTTGAACAAACCCATCCGACTTGACCTCGGCATGTTTCAGGTGGCTTCAAAGCATAGCCACGAGAACGCACACCATGTTTGGGTCTGCATATTTTGCCACAAACCCATTGCCCTGCAGGACAAACAGGGCAAACAACCGCAAGGTCACTTGGAGATTTCCGATGTCCCCTTGTGACGCACAGCCACATCTCTGAAACTTTATCGTACCCGGAAAGGGAATCCCCAGGATGGTCATACCAGGTGTCCAACAACCAACAGCTGAAAGGAGGACGGGTTGGGACAAGCAGGCGCCTCACCCACCCTTCGCGCAATGGAAACTGAGAGAAAAGCTCCGAGTTCACCCACCCTTCTTGTAAATGAATCCTTATATCGTCTTCTATGTTTGTGGGTAAAGGGAAGCTTACTCGCTGGATTTCCTCTCACCCAACCCAGAAAGTGCGCTTTCTCTGTCGGTGATGTGAGCAGGGGCCGACTGGAAGAAACAGAAAGGCATGATGGCACTCAACAAAAGCAAGGCATTCTTACCCCTTACAACATCACCCCTACCAAGGGAAACTCACCCATGGCCCGAGAAGGTGATGCTAAAAAACCAACAAAGGATATATCATATAGGAATCGCCCTGCGCGGCGTCGCTCAAGGAACCATTGCCCACAAGCGGACCCAGAGGAAATTCACACCTCCGTTAATAAACAAATCACCCCGAAGTGCTGATGCGAGCACAATGAAACGACACACCCCGACGGGAACTCTTTTGGGCCGGCGTTGAGGAAAAGCCAACACGAAACCAAAACCACAAGAGATCCTTATTTTTCAGACCCGGCCTTTAAACTCCTTCAAATACACCCTTAAACCCGTAAAGCAACCTCAAGAAGGTTACCCCAAAAGAAGAACACAACCTCATAGAAAACGTCAAGATGGAAGACCCCCTTACACCACACCCAGTCGCCCAATGACTCTGGCAGAAAGAGCCTTTTCGAATTTTGTGGAACCCGAAGAAGGGATTTAAACGGTGCCACTTCAGAACTGGGAGGAAACACCTATAGTCCACGGTCAATTGGGGAGTGTCTCAAACCAGGGGTACCCCAAAACTGCCGGTTTTCCTGTTGGCTTTCCTTTAAGCACACCAAAAAAAGCGGCTGCCAACAAGACATGACAAACCCAGTTTGGGAGGGACATGGGGGGACAAACCCTAAATTTCAGCCAATCCCAACACGCTCGAGCCTCACTTTCCACAGAACCCGCGGCTTGCTCATTATTCCAACATGGTCGCTGGCATATAACTTATCAAACCGTTTGTCTCAAATACCCTGAAATCCCAGATCCTGTATTGTGATGTCCATTGTTAAACGTGCACCGAATAGGGAAGCCAACTCCTAAGCATAAAACGCATCCACGCCCGTAAGAATCGATGCTCTTTTGGCGTCCTGTTTTAAACCAACCACCAAAAGGGGACTCCTACTCCAAAACAAAAACGCCACGCCCCCACGCGAAAAACAAAAAACACAAAAAATCCCACGCCGCGTAGACCGAGTTCCTTTTGCTCCGAGAAACAAAAGGAGGGGGGGGAAAAAAAAAGCGAGGCGACGCTCGAGCCTCGGCGCAGTCCTCTAAGCAGACGCCTTCGCTCTGGATCTCGCCCTTGCGGCAGGTGATGTCCACAGACCCGGTGAAGCCTCCGAACACCGAACCCATCATCGCTCTGAAGCACGGGTGGAGGCGCTGCGGAAAAAAAGGAAACAACAAATGCAGGGATTGGAACGGGAAAAAAAAACAGGGGTGAGACTTGTTGGTTGTTTAAGGTTGAACAGGATCGGATTAGTTGATGTCATTATTTTAGTTGATCTAGATATGTTATTTCATCACTTTAGCCAAGGGCAGAGAGGCAAGAATGTAATTGTTGGTCCCAACAGTTCAAAAGATGGAGTCGGAACCAACAGGAAATTGCTCAATCATATGGACACACGCGCATCCGCTGTGAGCCAAGTAAATCACCTGGTACCCCCAGTGAAACAGATAGCTCCCGTGTTTCAACAGGAACCCAAAGGTCCTATATGTATATATTTCTGCACGCGCGCGCCGGTGTGCTCCAAGTTGGAAATCACCAAATAGCCGACCAATCAAACAACTAGCTCCCCCCCCCCCTGAGCGCTTCTGTCGGGATCCCATGGGTTTCGTACGGTAAAATGGAAGCATGGACTAAAACCAGTGGTCCGCTGATTTCAAGCCACCTCCATCGAGATCCGGATCTGAAGCGTATCCAGCGGTTCATGTTTTCGACTACAACGCATTCGTCTTGTTGACCTTGGAATGGGGAAACAAAAAAAAATAAAAACATGAAACCCAGCGGGTATGCGATGGTGCGTGCAAGGGCACGGATCCGACAACAACCAACTGAAACTATTTTTTGAGGGTGACCCTTTTTTGGTGGTTTTAAAGGGAAACCAACAGTAAAACCAGCATGTTGTCCCTAACAAACACAGGCCCAAATGAATGGTGAGGGGGTGGACCTTTAATCAGTTTCGCTCATGGCGGCCTTTGCGCCAGAGGAAGGGTAGGGACTTACTATGTTTTGGGCCCTCGGGTGAGTTCTCCCCTTGGTAGAGGTGATGTTTTAAGGAGAAATATGCAGAACCTGACAATTAATATTGTGGATGGTTACAATTTTTACCCCGATCGGGGCCAACGGGTACGTGTTTCTTCTCACTATTCATAGAACTTAATCCAGTTTAACTGGTGCCGATCGATTCTCTAGTCTATTTTTGCCGATTCGCCAATCCATGGATCGAGCGATCTCTCCGTTTCTGGATCCGTGCGCCTTCGGGGCACTGCAACAGCACGTTCTCCTTGTCGTCCAAATTGTCGAAGGACAACTCCGCGTTGCCGGACTGCAGTGTTCCGCCCTGGCGAGGGCGGGGGCGCTTCAACCAGGTGAAACAGGGCTCCGTTGACTTATACCCAGGCGAAGTTCCCTTCTGAGGACATCAACTACCGAGTTGTTTGGTCCATCTTGGGGTTTCAAAAAGTGGAACTCTGGTTTTAATAGTTTGCTATCACCAAAGGTGAGCGGTTCAACCACTTGTTGAAACTTGAAACGCGCCCACAAAGGTGGCCACCAGGTATTTGACAAACCGCCCAGCTGTTTCAACAAACGACTTTGGGTTCGTCCAGAAGGTGGCGGGGTATGTAATAAACCAGCAAACTGCTTGAACAACCTCCTGTGAGTTCCTGTTCAAACAGCCGCCTTTGGGTTCCATCTAATTCTCACCTCCTGGCGAGCTTTCAAAAGAACCTCCTGGCGCGCAATGTCAGGGCGCACCAAACACCCTGTGCTATGGCTCGTCAACATAGGGATCCGCGTATGATTATGCTTCATATATGGCTATAGCTCGTAAAACAACATACTGATCCGGACCCCAGAAATGGGTTCCCCTCGTGGTTGCCAAAAAAGCCAACCAAACTCAAAACAGGTGCCTCAACAAAAGTCACACACCCATATCCAACCCCCAAAAAAAGGTGCCCTCAAACCCCCCCCACAATGCCATATACAGATCCCTAACCTGTAGTAAACAAATGGAGGAAACCCCTCTTTCAAGGTCTTCTGGCGTTCTTCCAACGTGCCAAAACGTGGATTCCTTTTCTTCCATTTGCGTTTCTCGACCCTTGGTTGAAAGTGCGCAAAAAAAAACAAGAAACAAAAAGTCCAGTGATAGGTTCCCTTTAAAACCCTCCAGGGACCATTAAAAAAAACACTTCGGCAAATGAACGTATTTCGTATACCCTCCCAGTGGTGTCCTTTAGGCCGGTTGACATGTCCCGCCTGGCAGTAACTGCTACGCCGACAGGTGCTCTCCGTGACGTTGATGTACCCGTTCTCGCAGGAGAGGTAGACACCTGGTTGCGGCAGAGACGGGGTGTCTCTTGATGCTGACCCCATAATCAACCCCAGTGTGTTCCCCTCTGAAAGCGATGATTCCCCACTAAACCCAGGACACCTTGGCAGAGACGGTGTCTCAGGGGAGTCTTTTTGCCACCTTGTGCGAGAGAATTGGCGACTTAAAAAGACCCCCCTGCGGTGTCTCTGCCAAGTAGGGGGCACCCTAAGAGCTGGCGGGCTTCCGTTGGGATTGGGCCTTGTTTCCCTTAAATCTGCTGTTTGGCAAAATGAGGCCAGATCATCTTCTTCCGGCCCTTTTCCTTAGCACCGCGGAGGACGTGTTCTCGATACCCCCCCTTTTTGGTTGCCCAGTTTAAGAAGAGAGGGCAGTGTCCCCAGCGCGTGTGTGTTTCCATACAAAACCACTGTTTTTCCAATTTGCCAAAATTACGAAAAATCTTCGGAAAACACTTTCTGGGGACACAGGTATCTCTAAACGGACTCTGTGGGAAGGAAGGCTTGGTGGATGGCTTGACGGCAATGTGTCTAATGTGATGTGGTCTTATGTGTGCATATGCAGCCTAAAAAGCCCCACTAAAACAAACTTCATCAAATACTATTGTATCATAATCTGTGAAATCAAATGGTTCTACTTTAGCATCGCCATAACTGATGCCGAAGAATTCTTTAATTGTCATTGCTTCACCTTCAACGGCTTGTAATAGTTTATTAGTAGGACAAAAAACAATTCCTTTATGTCCCTTACGGACAATTTTTTGACATATACACCTCTTGCCTATGCCCGGGTAAGCACCACGCACGAATCATCATAGGATTATTTGGCTCACTCACTTCTATTATTTTGTCAATGTCGTATTCATCTATAATATCAACAGTTTTACTTTCATAAAATGGGATTTCTACTATTTCATTTCTAGCAACTTCATTTTTTATTGTAGGTAAATTAATTTCTTCATCTTGTTTTGAAACCTTCCAGCCTCCTATGTCAATATGAAATTCTACTAGGTGCCTTGCCTTTTCTACATTGCAAGTATCAATTACAAAAGCATCGGCTTTAACACTATATGCATTAGCATTATTTAATTTTGATTTGAAAAAGTATTGGTTCATTTGAAAATTTGTGATGTTGTAAAAGTAGTTCCTAACATACCTATATCCATTTCTTAAGTCTGCTTTATCCTTCAAATTCAATACAACATATGATGCCTTCATATTATCATTCCTCATCATCTTCTTCACTTTCTATATGGGGTAAGCTATGATGTTTACCTTGGTCTTCAGTTTGGTAGTGGATTGCCTCCCAATACTTTGAAATAAAATGCCTTGATGTCTGGTAGCACCTCCTTCTTCCAATAATCCAAATTGACATTCCCTATTATGTTTTAATTAGTTTATATCTGTTATTTCATCATTCTCATCTAGATCAGTTGTCCAAAGTTCATAAATACTACTTTTGTAATCGCCTTTATGAGTACACAAAAGTTGTTTATAATACATAATCTTAAATTAATACTTGTTGTTCTGTTTGATGAACTCCTTTAGAAAATTGCCATACATTAAATTATGTTTTTTTGTTAGACATCAAGCGCTTATTGTCGGTCTTCAATAAATTATCCATCACAAATTGTTGAAAGGTGTTCTTATCCATTTGGCAAAAAACATATTCAATCTAGATTCACTGTTGCTCATAGTTGTTTTTTCCGGTATTCGAATACATTTGTTTCAGGCGTGCGCAAGCAGATGAGACGAAGGAAAGCTGTCTGCGAGCCTGCGGGATAAAAGCAGCTAGAATGCGTGAGGGCGGTCCAACCTACAGAAACTCAAGGAAACCGAGAAAAACACAAACAACCTGGAGAAAAGCTACAAAAGCAACAACAACTCAAAAAACCTCGGGAAAAAGCAAAAAACAAACACACAAAAAAAGCCCCCAGGGAAATGTTCAAGTGCCAGGCTGGAAACCTTTTGCCAGGGGCTTTGGTTTTTTGTTTTTCCCGAGGTTTTTTGAGTTTTGTAGCTAGTGGACAATAAGAAGGTTCTCTGCTCAAGTGACAGGGGTCACAATGCATCAATGTGTTGGCTGCTTGCGGTCTGCGCAGTGTCCCAGCCCTGAAACCATCATACAGCAGGAATGTGCAAAAACCTAGCGCTGGGGACACTGCTTTCTGTTTAAGAAAGCAGGTTAAAGAGAGTCGAAGCCTGACTGTGACCTCTATTGCTAAAATTACCCTGAGAGGGTGCCCGAATCCCAAATCTCCCAATCGCGCTCTCGCCTTGGCCCGCGGAGCCGGTCGGGCACACCACCTTCACCTTGCCCCCCTCGATGATTTTCCTCAGCTGTTTGCTGTGCGAAGCCTTCCTGGCCGTGAACGAGGGCCTATCAGGGTATCCGTGTCTTCTTTCCTTTGGGCTTCTTAGGGTTTCTCCTATTCGGTCCCAGTTGCAACCTGTGACCCTGGCAGCAAAAAAAAATGGTGCCACTGAACGACGGTAAGGGGAAAGAAAGTCAGCCCAACGCCCAACTCTGAATGACTTGTGAAACCGGCACCAGTTGGATGGCTTATACGGTGCTTCCCTCATTCCCTGCTGAGCAAAACGCAAGTAAAGGTTGACGCAGGTCTTGCTGTAATCCCAAACCACCCACCTGGCTAACGTTGAGTGCTGCTGTGTGTGGGCTTCTCTCTGTGTTGATATTTGTTCTCGATGCGGACGAGGAAAACAGAGCCAGCATTTGGAGAAGATTCCCTCTACAAAAAGGAACCACAAATAAAGCTGAAGCTTTGTGGGACATGTCTGAACATGGGAACCCTAAAAGGGAAAAAACACCAAAAGGTTCAAAAGCCGGTTTTGAACGACTGAGTGCAATGAGCCTCGTGCGAAGCCTCGCCTTACTCTTGGCCAAAGCACCCCACCGCAATATGAATTTCAACTGGGGAGCCGTTGGTGGACATCAATTACTTCAAGATGGAATGTCTCAAAACAGTGGTGGCTTTCCTTTTGACTTCTCTTTTAAGCACTGCTATAGGGTACCCGCAAAACAAAAGCAACATAAAAATTCCAGGGGTTGGGTTTGTTCTTCCAGGCATGAAAACTTCCGACTTCTGGAGTGGTCACTTTCTGCCAACACTCAACCTCAACTGGCTTTCTCACTCCTCGAGTCAGTTGGATTTTATACTTTTCAGGTTTGGACCTTTGTGGTTAACACCAAGTTCAGAGCTTTCTGGGCAATCCGCTCGTTCAGGTTCAGAAGCGGGTTTTGAAACAGCTTCGCGGGCGTACAGCAGGGCCCCTTGGAAGTCAAGGATACCCTTCTAACTAGTTGATGGATCTCGCCACAATGTGGAAACCCTCAAAATGGTTGGCTTCGTTTTGGTTTCCGTCAAGGGTTTCCCAAGAAAAGGTCTTGGGAAGGCTTCGATTCCTAGAAAGCAAACTCTGAAAATTCACCCCCTAGAATCTCTAGACAAAACAGGCAGGTTTCTTCGAAGCATCCCCTTCGCTTCCATCTTGCAACCAACAAAAACTGGGTTCCAAAAAACAATTGGCCACCTTCTGGGGCCCTCCAACAATACCTGGCTGCTGTCGACCCTCTGCAAAAGTCTAACTTTCTCTGGGTTCCATCTGGAAAACCAGCTTGATTTCAACCAAACAATCAAGTCTAAAGATCCAACCCAACAGCAATCAAGAATAATGCTTGCTGATTCTCGGCCCTTGTTTTGGCCATCCATGGCCATCCCATTCAGAATCAGTCCGTGGGCACACCCTCAAAGCTACCCGCTCTAGGTCCGCTGGGGTGCGTATACCGTATAACCACCACTCAAACCATCGGGGTGCGTATACTTCGTTGACGTTTGAAGGGGAGCAAACATTCTCAAATTTTGGCAGTTAAGTGGTTGGATTTCAACCACTAAACCACAATAAGAAAAAATGCAAAATGTTTCCCAACAACAACCATGTATAACCACCATTGCTTGCCTAAGGATTGTCCTCTAAATTGTGCCCTTGCCATCTAGGTCCTCCAGCAGAGAGGTTACAATAATAAGGGATTCTAGTAGGGGAACCCTCCCCAAAAAAAGGGTACAAGGGCACTACTGGGGGACCTAGCCATTCCTTTAATGTTGATTTCGGATTCATCCGGAGGACGCCTCTTGCCAAGGAACCCCGTAAAGTAGAACCCCTGATCGGTCCGGATGAATCCGAAGCTAACATTTAGTGTTCAGTCCTGGACTCACTTGGCCAGTGCCCATCCAAAAACAAGAGTACACTCTTTGGGTCACCACGAAACTACTGGGGAACCGACAAAGAACCACTGGCTAGAGGGCTCTCAGACATCCCTCGAAGCAGACTCGGATACTCACTTCCAATTGAGTGGACAAGGTTTGAACGATATATTTACCACTTAAATGGTTCCAGAAACTCGGGGGAGTGGTTCTCAGAGATCCCTCCAAACTGATTGGTTCTCGGAGATGGTACCCCTTTTTGGACTGTTTGAAAGGGAGACCAAAGAAAAAGACATTTTGGAGGTTCTTTCCCTCCATTTGCTGAAGCCCCCTGAAAATACATAAAACAAATTCCCAAAGTGATAGATCTCCTTGAACACCAACAGGGGAAAATACAAACATATTCTTGAGCAAGTGGGAGTTGCACTTTGAGACAACCCCAAATCCCCTCAGATGGAAAAAAGGACAACCTTTTGTTGTTGGTTTGGTTTAAAGGGAAACCCTCTTCCCAAAAAAAAACATGAAAAAAGGGTGGGTGAATTATAATACTTCACCAACATGAAATAAGGTGGTTGGGGGCTGTTCCCCAGGTAAACCACCTTTTGGGGTGAGGTGGTGTGAGGTCGAAAAAAGTTCACGACCATAGGCGTCCTTTTAGGGGACATAGATATCCCTGGTAGATGATGAAACCACCAGGTAAACCAGGGGAACCCATCGATTGTTCGACCAAAACAACCAAAAAGGACACCTATATTCACGACCCGATCCGAAATCAAAACTCCACATCCGGGGCTCCCATGGGACACCTCCACGGCGCCGTCGTCCACCCACAAGCTCCCCGCCACGTCGCAGCGCGCCAGGCACGAGGAGTTGTGGCGCGGCACCACTTCCCCGTCCTCGCACTGCAGGAAGTACCTCGGGAAGGAAACGACGCCAGCTCATTTAAAAAAACAAACGACCCCAGGCAAGAAAAAAAAGCTCAGGCGATATCCCCAACAGCATGCGGTGCTCTTTTTAGTGATTGCACCACCCCGCAGCCCTCGCAGAACCCTGGTGGAACCCTGGTGGAACCTTGGTGGAACCCTGGTGGAACCCTGGTGGAACCTGGTGGAACCTGGTGGAACCTTACCTCAGGCCCGCCCCGGACCACCCCAGAGCCTATCTGGGCTGAGACCCCAAAGCTTTCAGCTGTTGGGGAAACAAACAGAAGTGAAATCGATTCCCTTGAACACCAGGGGGACAACAATAAAATAGACCTGGACCCGCAGAGACTACCCAGTAGCATGGGTCAAAATGGCCAGTGACTTTTTTCCCGTTTTTAAGGGTAGGTTTTAGGGTTTAGGGTCCAGACCTGGACCCTCAACCACATAAAACAAGGGGAAATATCACCCACCCCTTTAGCAAGGGGAAAAAAATAACCCCCCCGTAGTTTGGTTGGCCATAACAAGAAACTTGTTTTTTGGGGTAGTTTGAGGGTCTAAACTGCACTCTGCTGCCGTGATCCTAACCATAACTCTTGGCAGGGTGTGTTGTCAGTTTTTTTGGGGGCACACCCGAAATGGCAACGGTGTTCCTGTTGATTCCAAGAAAGAAGCCACCCAAAACTGGGGCACCCCAAAAAAGGACGATCCACCCTGGTAGCTCCAACACCGGCTCGCTCTTAAAAAGCTTGGACTTGGTTCCCTGGCTTCTGGTTGTGTCCTTTCTCTTTCGTGATTCATACCGAGCAAAGCCTCCGGCTGCGGTTCAGACCTCCTGCGAATTGGAAACAAACATACATATATATATGTATATGTATATGCATGTAGTAATGTAATGCAATTAATGTAATGTCATGTAAAGTAGTGTGGTGTAGTGTGACGTAATGTATGTATGAATAAATGTATGTATATATGTATAAGCACCTGCAAGTGGTTTAGGTTTATCTCTAACCTGTTGTGCCTCCGAAAATGGGTGGTGCTCCTTCTGGTGTTCTTGTAACAAAAGCCACAACAAGATACCCTCAAAGATACACCCGTTCAAAGATCAGGGACTGCCCGGAAAAGAAATGAGACCAAGCCGAAGTCCAGGCATAGAATAAACAAAGCAACCAACAAACCAATCAACCAACCAACCAATCAACCAACCAACCAACCAACCAACCAAACAACCAACGAACCAAACAAACAACCACACAAACAAACAAACAAACAAAACCGACAAACAAACAAACAAGCAGGCAAGAAACGAACCAAAGAATCAACCAAACCACACAACTAGACAAGAAGCTAAACAAACACAGAAACACGCAAATAAACAAGAAAACAACCAACTAAACAAACAGAGAACGACACACAGAAACAAGCACACGAGCAAGCAACGTAACAAACCATGAACAAACCAACCAACCAACCAACCAAACAAACAAACAACACAACTAAACAAACGCAAAGACACACAGAAACAAGCACACAAGCCTGCAACCAAGCAAACAACAAACAAACCAACCAACCGACCACACAAACACACAAACAGACAGACAGACAGACAGACAGACAGACGGACGGACGGACAGACAGACAGACACAAACAAAGAAGCAAAGAAGCAAAGAAAACAAGAAGCAAACAAACAAACAAACAAACAGACAAACAAACAAACAAACAAACAAACAAACAAACAACCAACCACACAAACAAAGAAACAAAGAAGCAAATAAACAAACAAACAAACACACAAACAAACAAACAAACAAGCAAACAAACAACCACACAAACAAATAAACAAAGAAGCAAAGAAGCAAAGAAGCAAACAAACAAACAAGCAACCAAACAAATACTCACACAAACAAACAACCAACCAAACAACCAAACAAACACACAAACAAACAAACAAACAAACTAACAAACTA